CTCCCTTCCTCTAGTTCAGCGGTTCTCAACCTGTGGGTCACGACCCCTTTGGCGGTCGAATGACCCTTTCACGGGGGTCGCCTAAGACCATCCTGCATATCAGATATTTACATTACGATTCATAACAGTAGCAACATTACAGTTATGAAGTAGCAATGAAAATAATTTTATGGTTGGGTCACAACATGAGGAACTGTATGTAAAGGGCCAGAAGGTTGAGAACCACTGCTCTAAGGTCTCCCTCAGCCCTGACCTTCCTTGATTTCATCGTTGCTTTTCTGGTTCTTGCTGCTTTTCATCTGGTTACTTTATATATTTTTGTAATAGAGTGGGGAAAAAAAAACAAAAGGGCAAAATTCTAATTTACTTCTGTCATTTTTTAACAGCTTGGTAAACATTTAGTAAGAATCTACTGGTTTTATATACTATCTGGTGGTCCCCCTCCCAGCAAAGATGGAGAGTAATCCCACTATCTCTCTCACTGACAATAATGGAAAACTCTGAGAAAAAATACAAAGAGCAACTACCCAAGGACCTTGAAAGTAAACATAAGCAGGTAGAATATGAAAGAGAGTCAAATTTGGAGAAACAATCTATCAGGTGCTAAGATTCTCAGCTTTTTTTCTTTTTCCTTTCACATATTTAACCCTAGAGCTGTGCAGGTAGCAAAATTTCTGAGAAACTAGCCTCTCTGGCCAGAAGAACTAGGAAAGGGGGCGCCTGGGGCTGGAGAGTTATGAGGGAAATTCTGGAAAAGAAAGTCCTAGATAAGGAGACAAATTCAGTATGTGAACTATGTAAGTCCCCAGCCCAACTCAGGGCTGTGCACATACAGAACAAACCCAAAGAAGAATGACAAAGGCAATATTAATCACCTCCACTATTTCTGAGTTTTTCTTGCCAAACCCAAAATCATTTTTCAGGGAATTTTAACAGTATCCAAAGTATCAAAAAATCATATTTGGAATATTTAAGATACTCAGTATACAAAAAAACCTGAAAGCCTGGCCAATTCTCAAGAAAAGGTAATCAATAATTGCCTGTCCCAAAATAACCCAGTTGTTGTAACTATTACACTGGTTTTAAAGGAGCTATTATAAGCCTCCTCCACATTAATCCTCTTAAAATAAATGACAAGATAGAAGTCCTCAACAGAAAGAAGTATCTCTATATATAAAAGCCTACGCAACCGAATGACCAAATGACCGATCACTGTGACACACACTGACCACCAGGGGACCAATGCTCAACACACAGGATCGGGCTCCCTGCTATCTAGATTGGGCCTGTGGGGATTGGACCAAAACTGGCTATCTGACATCCCTGAGGGGTCCTGGATTGCGAGAGGGTGCAGGTCAGGCTGAGGGACCCCACCGGTACATGAATCTATGCACCAGGCCTCTAGTATATTCTATAAAAAAGAACCAAGTAGCTATTTTAGAACTAAACAGTATAATTGAAAATTTAAACATTCACTGTATGCACTCAACAATAGAATGGCAATGAGGAAAAGAGTCAATGAATTTGAATATAGAACCATATAAATTATACAATTTGAAGAACAGAGAGAAAAATCTTAAAATAAAATAAAAGAGATTGAAAAAATATTCAGAAGACTCACATTTTTGTCATTAAAGTCCTCCAAAAAGAGGAGAAAGAAACTGGAATAGGAAAATTATTTTTGAAAAAATAATAGCAGAAAACTCCCTAATGTGTTTACAAATTTAAATTCACAGATTCAAGAAGCTCAGTGAACAACTCAGTGAGAACCACATCCAGACACATAATCAAACTGCTGAAAACAAAAGATAAAGAAAATGTCTTAGAAGCAGCTAGGAAAAGAAAACCAATACAGTATATATATAAAAAATATGATTCTAATGGAAATTATCACAGATTTCTGATTAAAAACTATGGAGGCAGGATGACAGTAGAATGACATCTTTAAAGTACAGAAAGAAAAAAACTATAAGCTCAGACTCCTTTAGCTAATGAAAATATCCTTTAGGAATAAAGTAAAAATAAAGACATTAAATAAAGAGAAACTAAGATAATTTTTGCCAAAGAACATGCTCAAAACGAAATGCTAAGAGAAATTCTTTTAATTTTTAAATGTTTTTATTGATTTCAGAGAGAGGAATGGAGAAGGAGAGATATAAACATCAATGATGAGAGAGAATCATTGATCAGCTGTCTCCTGCATGCCCCCCACTGGGTATCGAGCCCACAACCTGGGCATGTGTCCTGATTGAGAATCAAACCGTGACTTCTAGGTTCATGAGTGGACACTCAACCACTGAGCCACACCAACTTGGCTAAAAGAAAGTCTCTAAACTAAAAGAAAATGATACTTAGAATATGAAGAATAAAAACATAGCAACAGAAATAATAAAATTTAGGGTAAATATAAGCCTATTTTTCTTCATTTATGTTCTTTAATTCTTGACTGTTGAAAGTAAAAAATTTAACATTGCCTGGTGGAGTTTTCGTTGTCATACACATGACAACTATAAAGGAGCGAAGGTAAAGAACACTTCTGGTTGTAAGGCTTCTTGAAAGGGTAGGTAGAGATATTATCAATAGAGCTACTGAACAATAAATAATATAAGATCTGGATCACTATCCTTAACACAGGTTTCTACCAAAACTTTATGAGGATTCTCAAAAGGCTAAGTGGTGGGAAGGAGATGCTGTACCCTCAGGTTGAGAGCTAAGAGGTTTCCTCTACCTGCCTCGGCAGGACATCAGCAGCTGGTCTGCTTTGCAATGCAAGCCCCTTTTGCATCTACCAGCCACTGGAATGCTACTGTTTAGAACATGCAACCGAGGCCTGAGTCTCAGTCATTTGACAAAGCTACATAACAACCTACTTATGAAACCCCAGTAGCTAGATAAGAAAAGATAAGGAGAAACAGCCAGAATACATGATTGGTAAAGTAGAGTAGCTGCAGGAGACAGATTAAAACTGCACTAAAAAATATAAATTTTTAAAAGTTTAAAACCACTCACAAAACATGATTTAAGAACTTAATCCAGCAGGTGATTTGGAGAAGATAATAGTCATTTTTGAGACCTGAGCTTGTGGTTTAAATAAACTGGGTACAAAAAATATATCTTAAAGCACAAAGCATAATTATAAAAACATATCAGCCAAAAGAAAAAATATAATAAACTGAGAGGATATATGCAGGGGGCCTGTCATATGAATAATAGAAACTCTAAAAGGGAAACAGGAAAGGGAAAGAATAAAGGCAATAATTAAATGAACAATAGAAGAAATTTTTGAACAATAGAAAAAAATTTCCTGTGAGGAAGAAGACAGATTTAAAGTGCTCACTATGTTCCGGACCAAATTAATGAAAAAAGAAACTTATAAGCATATTCTGATAACATTTCTAAACTTCAAAGTTAAAGGAAAAGTATCATATGCAGAAAGGAACAAGCCACCCACAGTGGACTGGCATTGAACTTGCAATATGCAACACTAAAAAGCAAAGGACAAAGGAAAGACACAGATTATTAAGAAAAAAAGGATTGTAACCCAAAAATTCTATACTCATTCAACTGTCAGAGCAAAGAGATATTCCAGGCTATGTAAGAAATCAGAGAGCATATCATCCTTCTATCTTGTCCAAGGACAATTCTTGAGAAAAATATTATAACCAAGCAAGGAAAGAAACAGAACAGAAATTTAATAGGAGGGAAGAAGTAAAGAGGGAGGGTAATCAACCCTTGTTTCTCCGTAAGTCTAAATGATTAAGGATAGATTATGAGAACGTGAATATAGTGCTAAATGTTTTTGAAACAGAGGCATCATAATGTAGGGGATATTTTAATAAGTAATAAATTAACTCAGCAACACCTAAAAGTTGGATAGAGGGACTGGAAAGGGAGAGAGTAAACATTGTCCAAATGTCGCTTGGATAGTGGAGATGGGAATAGAAGGGAAAGTAAAAATATTCTAGAGTTCCCAACAGTAGAATTGGGTTCAGGGGATGTGGGGTGGAGAAATATTCTATCTTGGTAACACAATAGAGTTGAATGTGTCTATGAGATCAGGGAAATGGAAGACACACTTAAAAAATATGAATGCATTAGGAAATCATTTCTTCTCCATTCAGAAGCATTCATTAGGAAATTTCACACATTTTGCATGATCTTTCCTCACTTCTCCCTTATTTGTGTGATTTGAGGCTTTGGGGTAGAAGTAGAAAGGACAGCATTGTTTTTAAATCTGCAGAATATGATTGGTGGGTTTTGAGTGCAGTTTACAGACCATTCTAACTAAGCATTATTTTTCTCCTAATATTTCACAATGAAATCATCATCTCTACATGGCTTATATTGTCTCATTCAAGTGATATTTTAAATGTCTCCTCCCAGATAAGACACCTCATCCAAGGTATTCAGTCAGACACTTTGCCACATCACCCTTTTTTGTTTTATGTACCTCATAACACTCATTACTAGCCATTTATTTGAATTTATTGATTGACTTTCTATCTCACCCCATCTGAAAGGAAGCTCAGTGAGAACAATTACGTTGCCTTTTTGTTGCCCATCTCCAGCACCTAAAATGGTGTCTGCTCCATAGTAGGTAGTCAGCCATATTTGCTAACTGAGTGAATCTCTATTTCCACATCAAATTCTTAATGCTTTCTACATTTTTATATATATATATACCTGTGATCATTACTGTCCTTATCCGGGCTGAGATGAGCTCTTCCAGGACAGGTTTTGTCTCTTCCTTCAATCGATTCTCCAAGATCAGCAATCCCAGAAATATCAGGTCTGCTTCTACCTTGTCCCTGGAAAATATATATATATGATTAAACAGAAATAACATGTCATAGTCCTTCTTACAGTTAGCAAACAAAAATAAAGACAAACATCTTTTCTGTTAGAGTGGTACCAACTTACTCATTCAAGCATCATTCCCAAGGTACTGAATATGTGCTAGGAACTATCCAGACAGGAAGGGGACATAAGGATATTGAGACATTTCCTCTGACTAAATCAAGAAGAAGAGAGAGTACTTATTAAGCAAAAAAATTGGCTTTAACCTTTGTAGAAAATGACCTAAATGGCCACAAAGATCTCTTCCATCTGCTGCGGTGATTTTCATTACATCACTGCTGGCAATCACCAGAGAGAAGTTCTACCTCTGGTACAAAGCATCATGAAAAAGAAGTGAGGAACAAGAAAAATATAAAATGCCAGTTCTTCTAGAAACCAACGCTATAATCAATATCATTTTAGTCCCGGGGTAGAGGCCATAATCTCAAAAATGTAGTCTCTCTTTAAAGTCCACTCTCCTCCCTCTATCTGTCAGCTGGGTAGCATTGCTCTTCTACATAAAGTATGAATGCTTCTGCAGCAAGTGGGGTCTCTAAGGCTCCCATTCACTGCAAGGTCATTTCCAAGATATTCCACAGGACCAAGTGCAGGGGCATGCATTTGGGATTGGGGGCTGAAAGATTCTTCCAAGATTCATTTATCTGAGACTCATACACCTCTAGTAGACACAAGAGCAAGACATCAGCATTGCCTATATCTAGCTGAAATACAGATGAAAGCAATATCCAGAAAAGCCACTTTGCCTTGCTATGTGTGCCTCACATTGGCCAGGGGCATGATGCTCACAAAACACTGCTAACACATCCAGAGTGGCAGGGAGTGGACACAATTGGAACTACTCATCGCAAAGTAGGCTTGGAAGGATAACATTTCCTATTCTGAGCCTGACATTTAACTCTCTCCACAATCAGATTCTACAGTGTTTTTTTCAGGTTTATCTATCACTAAATTCTTCATCCACCCTAATCTCTAGCCAAATCAGGCCACGCACCATGGGTATGCTCTGTATTCGACCATCTTTAAACATTTGCTCTAGACTGCCAGAGACATTCTTTCTTTCTTTTTTTTTTTTTTGACAATAAAGCAAGGTTTTATTTTCTTTAACAAACGCTGCAGTTTAGTATTTAAACCTGCAGTTAATGGTGATCCTTTTATGCAGACATGAATATGAATCTGGGAAGAAACTGGGAGACCGGGGCAGAGAGGCAGCAGGCCTGGCTCCTGCTGGGTGGTGTGCGCACCTGTATTTCAGCCGGGGCAGGCAAGCCAGTTACCAATTCCTGTTATTATTGACTGGAACCAACAGTGTTTCTTCCGATACACAGCCCTCATAATAAAATCACATTTTCCAGAAGAAGTATTATTCATAATACACTCAGAATCACTGATTGCTTTTTCTTCGTCTTTTTTTCCTTGACTGTGTAGGTGTTTCAGTCTCTTGTGTTTGTTCTTTTATGCCAGATAAGGGCTGTTTGAAAACTATTTCGTTATCTTCATCATCATTCATTTCAGCCACTTCAGATTTTCGTTTATCCAAAAATGTTGGTGTACAAACTGGTGTGGGGCCCTGGCTATCCACAGTATTCTCAGGAGTTTCAGGGGGCGCTGAAGCCTTCTCCTTTTCCTTCGTAGGTAAAGCCTGTCCATTTGTGGATTTCTGAAGGTTGGTGTTTGAAGCGTTGCTTTTCTTCTTTTTCCTACGTAAAACCAATGAAGGAAAATCATAATTAATCCCTTTCTTGGCTAGTCTCTTCCTGAGTAATTTTTCTTTCTTTCTAAATCGCTCCTCCATCCCCAGCTTTTCAAGAAGGGTCTGGTTCTGATTATACCGTTTCACTGCTGGGAAAGACGGGTTCTTAAACGGAAGGTGCCACTCTCTAAAAAGTTCCTCATGTACTGTCTCAGGTGGCATAAAATGACACTTCAAGAGCCTTTCACCAAAAAGGTAGTTGCTCATTGTTTCAGCAACTATCTTGGCAACATCTTCAGATTCAAATTCCACAAAGGCATAACCTTTGCTATTTCCAGTCCTTTGACTTCTGGACAGCTTGAATCTCGTCACAGTGCCAAACTGGGAGAAATACGCTCGGAACTGGGTTTCGTACAGTGCTGGAGGCAGGTGGCCCACATAAATGACTCCGGGAGTGAGTTTTTCTTTTTCTTGCTTCTTGAAAAATGTTATTATGTTTTCCTCCTGGTCTGTCATTGAAATCCTTCCTATATTTTGAGGCCCAATGCACATACAAGTTCCTATATAGGCTCCCTACATAAAAATACTTGTTTCCTCAGTATATTACTTCTATCTCAGATTTGCTTGTATTTTATTTGTTCATATATTATTACTCTTTTCTATCTGATCTATCTCTATTTCAATTTCTTTCTTGAGGGTAAAACCACCTGGCTTAACAACAGGTTCAACAACACCCACGTGGTACTCAACACAGAGGAGGTGCTCAGCCAATGTTTGCCTAGGTTCTGGTGTCTGGAGTTACCATTTTCGCCAGGCAACTTATAAAAATTCATTTCCTCTTTCAAAAATTCTACTGCCAGAGGGTTTTCATAAGAATCAAAGTCAGTCAGTCTGTCAAGTCAATGGTCATTTACTGAACACCTAAGAAAATGCAAAAATTGGACTAAGGAAAGGAGGAAGAATATGCAGAGACTATAATAGCTCTTGACTCCAGAGATTCCACATTCAGTCCAGAGGACAAGATCAGACTTGACCACTTCGGTTATATAGAGGGCTTGGAAAGGTATCATGATAATGCACAGATAAGAGTCCTAATTATTTCTGGGTGGAATGATTGATAAAGCCGTCCTAGAGGAGGTAATATTTGAGCTGGTCATTAAAGGATAACTTAATTGATGCCTGATTTAGGTCCTCCAATCTTTCTGGTGGCCCTCATACCCATGCCTCAGGCTTTAGCTATGTCGAGATGATATGACATGATCAAACCACAAGGCATTAGATCAGGCCAAGAAAATGGCCAGAGGGTCCAGTATCTGACAGTCTTGCAGTCTACCTTGGCACTCACATTTTGGTTCCTCCGGCACATAGTCTTTGTAGTGTTCAATGAATAGCAATCTGGAGTCCAGAGTTATAAGTAATTCCAGCTCTGTTCCTACCTTGCTGTGTGACCAAGAGGAAATCACTTTCTTTGTCTGAGGATCTATTTCTTCTTTTGTAAAAAAAGTTAGCAAAATGAATGTATTTCCAAAGTCTCTTAAAGCTCTAATATTACATGTTTCTTCTTTTCATGAGTATTCAGTCTAAGTCAAGAAGAAAAAAGGAAAAGCAGTCCCTTAAGGGGTCTCAAGTCCTGCATTTTGGAATAGCATGCTATCTTTTTCTTCTTCCTGCATAGACTATACCTCCTCCCAAA